TCTGCTTCTCCCTCTGACCCTCCTCCCTCTTGTGCTCTCTGTCTCTCATTCTCTCTCTCGCAAATAAATAAATAAAATCTTTAAAAAAAAAAAAAAGATTCATACTTGATATACCCTTCTGTAACATGCTTCTAACACTTCATTGTATGTCCAAGATTCATCCTTGTTGTTTGGAACATGACATTCATTCATCGTCATTGTCATATGAGGCTGCCTCAGACAGCCAAGCCACAATTACCCTTTCTTCTCTCCTTGGAAATTGATTTTTTTCAGTTTTTTTTTTAGGATTTTATTTATTTATTTGAGAGAGAGAGAGAAAGCACCAGTCAGGGGAGGGGCAGAGAAGCAGACTCCCCGCTGAGCAGGGAGCCCGATGTGGGACTCGATCCCAGGACCCTGGGATCATGACCTGAGCGAAGGCAGACGCTTAACCAACTAAGCCACCCAGGTGCCCTGGAAATTGATTTTTTCCCCCCCTGCAGTTATTAACAATGCTACTTTGAATATCTTTGCACATGGTCCTACATAGGGGTTTCTCTAGAACGAAATTCTCAGCCTTGGCTGTACATTAGAATCCTTTTGGAGAGAGGTAAAAATACCAATGCCAGAGCCTCACCCCAGAAATTGTTTGAAATCACCTATGTCAAGGTGTCAGCATCTTTCCAAGGCCCTCCAGGCAGAAACGATGTGCAGCCAGGGCAGAGATCGATATGTTAATGCTGAGGAGGCTAGCTGCCTGTTTCGGAGTGTGCAAACATCTAACTTGACAAGGGAATGCCAAACCACTTTCCAAAACTGTTGTACCAACTCACCTTGATCCACAACCTTGCCAACACTTGCCTTTTCGGAAGTCTTAAAAGTTACAGGTGGAGGGAGGAGGGATTGGTACCTTGCGATCTTAATTTGCATTTCCCTGAGGTTGGGTCTTTCCTGATCTTTCGAACACATTGCAAAGCTGGCCCTGTTTTCCTGGGCATGTGTCCCATTCACACATCAGAGCTGGGTGCCTGAAATTGTGCAGCATTGGTAAAACCCTGTATCCTTTCTACAAAGTCGACCCCACCCCCACCCTCACTAGCCCCTCTTCCCACTCCCAGGTCCCTGGGGGACCGGGATGGTGCAAAGGCTGTTTTGCATGGTGGTAAAAGAAGGCAGGCCCCTTGCCACCCTGGCTGCTGGGCAGTCACCATAGCAGCAAGGATCATGAATATCACCTTTCACTTAGAGCTTCACAGTTTATACAGACTTTTCTACCCAATATCTCTATCTAATTCTTATAGCAACCCTCAGGGAGGGATCAACATCCCCATTTCACAGATGAGGAATTGAGGCCCTGAGATGTGAGGAGACGTGTCCAGGGTAACCCAGCTAGGAAGTGCAAGGCCCACAGGAGGAGCCAAGCGCAGGGGGAAACCGACGCTGGGGCCGGCAGTGGTCCTGCTATTGGCGGTGTCCAGGCTGGGGCCAGCTGTTCCCGAGGGGCCTCAAACCACCAGCACCAGACTGGCCCTCTTAACTTTTAAGGACCTTTCCGAACCTCTGGTGCTTGAATTTAAAACTCCCCGCCAAGTGGCTGCCACCGGTGATAGCTGGGCTATTTTCAGGTGAGTGTGTCTTTCCCCTAGGTATTCTTCCGAGCTGGCATCCTGGCTAAGCTTGAGGACATGCGGGACGAGCGGCTGGCCAAGATCATGACAATGTTACAGTGTCGCATCCGGGGTTTCCTTATGAGGATCGAGTTCAAGAAGATGCTGGAACGAAGGTAGCACGCTCACAAGCACCAATGGGGCAGGACCACGGAGGCCACGCTCACCCACAGGGGATGACCAGGGACCCCGCCACACACACAGGCCTCAGCCCCATTAGCGACACTGGGCAGTGAGATGATGCCAGTGTCTTCGCCGGCCCAAAGAACCCTGTTGGGGGTCTGTATTAGTTTTCTGGGGTTGCCGTAACAAAGCACCACAGCCTGGCTGCCTTAAAACAGTGGAAATGTATTTTCTCACGGTTCTGGAGGTCGGCCATCTGAAATCAAGTTGTTGGAGGCCACACTCCCCCCGAAGCTCTAGAGGAGGATCCTTTCTTGCTTCTTCCAGTCCCAGTGGCCCCAGGCGTTTCTTGGCTCGTGGCCACATCCTTCCGATCTTTGCCTCTGTTTTTGCAAGGCCTTCCCTCTGTGTCTGCGTCTCCACACCGGCTTCCTTCTTTTTATATGGACACCGGGCATCTTGGGTTAGGGGCCCCCCTTTCTCTAGTATGACCTCTTAACCTAAGTAATGACATCTGCAAAGACCCTATTTCCAAAACAAGGTCACACTCACAGGTACTAGGGGTTAGGACTTCAGCATTTCTTTTGGAAAGGGACACAATTCAACCCCTAACAGGGACCACCTAATATAAATCCTTCTCCTACAGCCTACCGGTCACTGCCCCTTATTTATCCGTGTGATGATACTATGACAGGGATGTGGTAGGGCCAGCACCCCCTGGAAACTGAGGCCAGAAGGGTGAAGGGCCTGGCCCCGGTTCATGCGGAAAGAGTCAAGACTAGAACCCAGAAGTCCTCACTCCAAGTCCTTGCCCCTGGAATCATGTTTCCCGGCGGTCTCTCTCAGAAAATAGCTCAGGCTCCCCTGGTTGGCCTCTGGTCGACTCTGGCTCTTTGTTGTAGTATTAGTCATAGCATTAGTAATAATAACAGTAATGAGCAAATAACAGCAATAATGAGCTCCTGATATCCACCAGGCCCTCTTCGACCCTGACTGAAGGCAGGGACTCCAGTTAGTGGCTGAGGGTAGGACAGCAGCCCAGCCCAACCCGGGGCCTCAGTAAATCACAGTCTGTTCAAGGTGCCAGGGACAAGGAGGTGGATTCCAGAGAGTGCAGATGGATAGGATGAAGAGAATAATGGGTGATTTCCTGCGAGGGAGCAGAGGGAAGGGAAGCGTAAGAAGAAATGAGTGGTCTGTCTCGGCCTTGTGCTGTCTGGGAGGAACCGTTCCATCAGGGAAGCCGAGCCCCAACACCTAAGCTTTAATCCATGAGACGCCGGCTTCCCTTTTGCAGAATCGGCCTGAAAGTCATCCAGCGGAACACACGCAAATTCCTGGAGCTGCGTTTCTGGGGCTGGTGGAAGCTCTACAATAAGGTAGGGCTCGGGGGCCAGGCCAGCCTGCTGCTGTGGGGGGACGGGGGGCCTTGGGCCTGGGTGGGAGGCCACAGGATGCTGCAGGCAAGGTCCAAAAATGAGTCCAAGGAGGAATCTAGCCTCCTTCCAGACAGGGGCGAATTCCTCCCTGAGGAACAATCACAGTGTGTCTTCCTGCCTCATCTCATCCCTCAAAATAACATCCTGTTAGGATGGAGAGCCTCCGCCCGACACACACTACAAAAAGTGGGCTTGGTTATCAGCACCTCTCCCTGGGCATGTTGAGGCATCTTCAATTTCTTTAGTGAAGTGCTCAGCTTTAGAGCTGGAGTGACCTCAGGAAATCATGGGGTCTGACCTCCCAGTTCTCAGGTTCTTCTGAGACAGCAGAGAAGGCAGTGAGTCAGCCAGGTGGTGGGGCTGCGGGACCCCCAAGCAACCAGCCTGTCCTTAACCAATGCAGGAGGCCATGAACCATCCTCCTGATGCAGGTAGAATCATAGTGGGTGATGGCGTCCCGGCCTCAAGCCCCCGTTCAGGGGGCACACTCCTCGTGCCATGGCTGGACGCAGGGCTGCCACATTCAGGACCCGGGTGGATGGCGGATGGTGATGTCTCAGGGGCCGTGTGCAGGGGTGGGTCCTCTCTCTGGCCCTGAGGCCCCCACGACTTGTGCAGAAGCTTCTTTCCCCTCCCCGTGGGAAAGCTCTTTCTAACACAGTGCTGGCCACAGGTTCAAAGGAGGGAGAGTAAGGTCTGCATCTCCAAAGGCACCCACACAGGCCAGCCCCCTCAAGGGCCTGAGATGGCAGAGGAGTCCAGATGAGCATTTCTCAGAGTTCAGTCATCACCGCTCATTTCCCCACCTGTTCTATGATGGACCTTCTTTCCTTATGTCAACTCACTTTTTTATTTTGAAATTTTTATTTTAAAAGGAAACTTGTATCCTTATCTGCTTTAATCTCGTCCTAAGCAAGCGTTATCCAAAAAATGGTGGGTTTGACGAGTTCTTTTCCGTTTTTAAAAATTATTTTAAAAAATGATTCATTCAGTTTCTTATTCTTAAAAGTTATTTTTAAAGTAACTATGTAATGATGAATATCAAAGGTTTCTATGCAATGCCAAATCTATCTCATCTGCCCTCTTGGTATTGGCGTTGCCCCCTGGGAAGCTCCAGACCAACAGCCTTTAAGATTCTTTCAGGCGGGACACCAGTGGTCACGGATGAGGAGACAAAGCCTGAAAACCTCCCGTTCTTTACTAGAAAGTAAAACCACTAATTAAACACGGTGGAGCAAGGTTCTGTTCCAATGAGTAAAAGAGTAAAATAAAATAAAAATCCTTTACTCTTAGTTTTTAATTAGGTTCTAATCTTATTTAAGCCAGATAGGATGAATCGATGGGGAAAAAAATACACATTGTGGGAGGCTTTCACGGAATAAAAAGGATTACGTAGTTGTGTGTTTACATGGACCTGCCACCGTGCCATCCCAGGTCCCTACAGCCCAGGCTGGCAATGAGGCGTCCCTGTCATCTTCCAAGAGAGGTGATGCCTTCTCCCAAATCCATCTCCACGGGGAGTTTGCCCTCTGGAGAAATGCAACCATTGGTCAGGAAATACCCTGAGAGCCTGTCCTGCCAGCTCCGCTCGGAGCTGTAGGGACACAGAGGGCACGAGGGAGATTTTTGAAGGGCTCAAGGTCTAGCAGGGCAGAGGAGTATGAGTGGAGCGAGCTGATGGACCCAGGCACTGATGCAGGGTAAGAAGGGCCAAATGCGAAGAGAGGTCCGGATGGGTGCAGTGGGTGCTGCCGAGGAGCAGGTGCTCCCGGCCGGCAGAGAGACAAAGCAGGCCCAGCCCTACAGAGCCGAGAGCAAGGGGGGCAGCGGCCACGAGGCAGGACGTACCAGCTGAGCTGGAGCAGGGTGAGCGAGGCTTGGTTGTGGGAGGCCTGGAGGATCACATAGGGGAACAGATGAAAGAAGTAAGTGAGAGAGACAGAGAGAGACACTAAGAATCTACACATGACAGAGAGATAGAGACAGAGACACTGAGAATATACATAAGCAGAGATAGACACAGAGAGGGAGGAATCAGTAAGGGAGAAAGGCAAGGGAAACCAGAGCTTGAATTCAGCCAGGGCTCCCAAGCACACACAATTTACAGAACAGATGTAAGCACTGGGCGTGGTTAGATGCCAAGGAACACCTCACTCGGTGTCTCGTAGGGTCAAAGAGCACCCTGAGGATTGGTCCTAAGCAAGGATGGGCCTTCTCTGTGGAGGCTAGGGATGCTTTTGGGGATCTGTGGAGGGGTTCCACCTCACGGCTGTAAAAGCTGCTTTCCACCCCAGTGGGGGTGTGAGGTCCCATCTGAGGCAGAGCCCCCACAGCCCACCACCGAGCCCCCGGCAAAGCCCATGCCCCTGACACAGTATGGTGTTGCTCACCACTCAGGTCAAGCCGCTCCTGAACGTGGCTCGGCAAGAGGAGGAGATGAAGGCCAAGGAGGAGGAGCTGAGGAACGCCATGTCCAAGACACAGGAGCTGATAAACAGGGTGAAGGAGCTGGAGGAGAAGATCGCCACGCTCAGCCAGGAGAAGAATGACCTCACCATCCAGCTACAGGCCGTATGTGGGGACCTGGAGGGGAGTGGAGGGAGGGAGCAGGAGCTGGGGGCCCTGGCAACTACCAGGATCCCCAGGGTCACTGAGAGTCAGACCCAGGGAGGGAGGGAGGGCTGGAGAGCCTTCTGAGAAGCCGTGTACGAGTGAGATCACAGGGATAAAAAACCACCCACTGATAGAAGCACCTTCATGGGCTCTACCCCTTTATGCCTCACAATGATGATTTCCTGCATTGTGCAGACAAAAAAACTGAATTTCAATAATGTGATGCCATGAACCATAAGTCACACAGCTGGTCTGGCTCGACTCTGTGGCCAGTTGTCGTCCTACACCACTGACCCCATCTCGGGGAGACCCCAGTGGACACCCAGGTTGTCCCTCTTCTGCCCCTTCCTGTCCACTTGACCTTTGACAACCCCACCCTCCTCTGAATATCAGTTCCCTCATCCCTAAACTGTAGCTTATGGTAACATCTGCCTGGCTTGCCCCTCAGGGTTGTTATAGGGAGGAACTGCGGATGGGAAATGGCTTGTGAACACAAAAGTGCTAACTCAGCGCTGGGAGCCATTTGGGCAGATGGCCCAGGCCCCACTGACAGATGGAGGCACAGGCACATCTGGGCTCAGCAGATGGGAGGGCAGAGCCTGCACCACCAGTGTGGTGCAGCCTGAGTGTCCTCCCCTTCTCCTGGACCACCTCTGCTAACACCACCTTAACTGGGATCTCGTGGAAATGCAGATTTAAATGCAACAGGTGTGAGGCCTGAGACTTGGCATCCTAACCAGCTCACAGGTGATGCCGCTGGCGGTCTGGGGACGGCACTGCTAGACGATGTTTTGTCGCACACATCGCGTGGGGCTCGGAGCTCATGCCTGGACCCCTTTGGGACCCCTTTGACGGGTGCTCGCTCTTCCCCCAGGAGCAAGAGAACCTGATAGATGCTGAGGAGCGCCTGACCCAGATGATGAAGACCAAAATGGAGCTGGAGAGCCAGATTTCCGACATGCGGGAGCGGCTGGAGGAAGAGGAAGGCACGACGGCCTCCCTGAGTGCCACCAAGCGCAAGCTGGAGGGGGAGATGAGCGACCTCAAGCGGGACCTGGAGGGCCTTGAGACCACACTGGCCAAGACAGAGAAGGAGAAGCAGGTGAGGAGGCCCTGGAGCCTGACCACACTCCTCACCAGAACTGGGAAGCCTACAGGGGTCACACCTAGAGTCCCCACTGTAGGACTGCCCAGGACCCTCGCCATCAGCCACATGGGGCTATTAACTTAGCTCGATGCAATTTAAAATGTGGTTCTGCTGTTGAGCTAGCTGCATTCTGAGTGCTCAGTAGCCACACGTAGCTGGCGCTACCATGTCGGATGGGCAAGTCTGGTGGGGCCCAAGGGTCTAGTCTCTTAAGACACCGCTGACATCTGAGGACTGGGCTTGAATAGCAAAGGCCTGAACTGGTAGCTCTCACTGCTGCCCTCACCCTAAGATTCTGACGTGGTTGGCTGGAGTGTGCCCTGGGCCTTGGCATTTCTCAGGCTTCCAGGTGACTCTGGACCATAGCCAAGCTGCAGGGCCCCTCTCTCAGAGCAAGTGCCTCCCCCAAGGGTGTTCCCAGACTTAAGGGCCTGTCTCTCTCTCCCACCCCCATTTCCAGGCCCTGGATCACAAGGTCCGCACCCTGACTGGGGACCTCTCGCTGCGGGAAGACTCCATCGCCAAGCTCCAGAAGGAGAAGAGGGCCTTGGAGGAGCTACACCAGGTAGGCATCACCGGTTTGCCCTTGGCAGAGCAGGTGGAGCTCGGAGACTGAAGACCCGGGTTCAAATCTTGGCCTTGCTGCCCCTCAGCTGGGGCCCGTAGGGAAGGCACAGAGTCTCCCAAAATCTCAGTTTCCTCATCAGTGAAGTGGGTGTTGTCGTGTCTTGCTGCTGTCCTCCCAGGTTTGTTGTAAGTGGGGTGATCCTGTAATTTATCACCCAAACTAGGACAGTTTGAGAGTCCCGGGTGCGCTGGAAGGCATGGTTCCCAGACTCACCAGGATGAAGTGAGGTGCACAGACGTGCCCCATGAGTGACACAACATTGAACCCTGATATAGCTCGGCAACAAAGGGCATGAGCTCTTGTCATGGGGAGACCCACTCAAGTGTTATGGGCTCAGGGTCCTGAACACAGAGCCAGCTCCGACCAGCCACCGGTGCTGACCGTGGCACAGACCACTTCCTCGGTCTAGAGACACAGGTACAAAGAGCAAGCTGAGGCCCAGAGCCGGACAGTGGACCCCCATCGCCATGTTTGCTGACACCATGATTACACAACAAGTCCCCCAAGGACCTCTCTCTGTTGCCTCCAGAAATACTCCCCCCTAGGCTGTGACTCTCAACCACTTCAAACTCAGAGCCCCCTTTTACAATAAATACAGTCAATTCTCATTATTCGAGATAGTCATGGTCTATAAAGTCACCACAAACACTGAATTAGCAAACACTGAACCTCAGCTTTTTGTTTTTTTTTTTAAAGATTATTTATTTATTTGAGACAGAGAGAACGAGAGAGAGCACATGAGAGGGGGGAGGGTCAGAGGGAGAAGCAGGTTCCTTGCTGAGCAGGGAGCCCGACGCGGGACTCGATCCAGGGACTCCAGGATCATGACCTGAGCCGAAGGCAGTCGCTTAACCAACTGAGCCACCCAGGCGCCCCCTGAACCTCAGTTTTAAGGGGAAATACAGGGTTAGGTTCCCGCAAGCCTCTGGTCACATTTTCATCGGCCACTCAATACATCATATGTATTGATTACAATCAATACATTGCCTTGTTTTATGTATGTTTCTGTTGAAAGACACTATTTGGTCCGTACTGTGGGTTCCTGAACATTGAGCTCACAGTCAACAGCCCTATATCTCATGCCTGAACAAAGCTTTTCTGACACACAGATTTCCTCTGTGAGGCACATCACAGCCTTATTGTGCTTGGGAACACTAGACAGGCTGGCTGAATGTGAGTGGGGCCATTTTATAAAGCAAAATCACCAAAACAAAAGCACCAAACTGTAGAAACCATGGCACTGAACAGACTCTGAAAAAAGACACTTGTTTGCAGTATGAGCGAAACAAGAAGGCAGGGCACCATCTTATCTGACCACAGCTGGGAATGTGCACCCCAGGAGGCTCAAATTTTTCAATGCTCTGCGCATGTCTGTAAATGACCGTGAAAGCACCGCAAGTATTGGTTTGGGATTACAAATAAATTTTAGCTAGTAGGTAAAAAGGCAAACAGATAATCTGCAAATAATGGGCACAGACTGTATTTTGGAAGCCTCTTACTGTTCTAAAATAAAAATTATTATAACTCATACATAACTTCAAAAAAATCAGTAGTGTACCCCTTCTTTTTTAAGGAGGAAGTGAATGGAATGTAATTTATAATAAATTCTGGTGCTGTCAGCGTGTCAAAGCTCAGGCAGATCCCCTAGAAGATGTCGTGAGCAGTAGGCCGTCCACCCGAGCCTGCCTAAGTGGCTGCAGATGGGCACGGACGGTGTGTTAGGGACGCAGATAGTGAAGTGCAGCTGCTGTCTGTGATGTGAGTTTACAACATGGTGAAGAACTATCAGGGAGATTTTGACAATAACAAATCTCTCAGTTTTCATGGTAGATCATTCTTTTAAAAATGTAGTCTATGCTAAATGAAAAAAAAAATAGCTGCATTATATGGAAAGTGGTGCTGGGTGGTTGGTTCAGAAGAGTCTGTTGTTTTGCTTATGTGAATGCCTGGGTGGGGCATCAGGTGTGTGGACTGCAGGATTCTTCAAGGTGCTGGATTGTCCAGAGCAAGGCAAGATGCCCAGCATCCCTGGAAACACCCACTAAGTTCCAGTGGGGCCCCCAATTGTGGTGACAACCAAAAGCCCCCCACAGATTTCCAACATACCCCATGGAGAACCAGAGCCCCACTGACCAGTGAGGGCCCACCTGCAGCTAACAGGTGCTTGGGTCTGCTCCCCACCTCACCTGGCACCAGGGGCAGGTGTTCAGTAGCTGTCCACTGAGCTCAGAAGTGATGGCGGAGAACCAGGTCTATTCAGCTGTCCCCACATGGCTCGTGGGACACACGTATATGTATATCTTTCCCTCCAGAAAACCCTCGACGACCTGCAAGCTGAGGAGGACAAGGTGAACCACCTGACCAAGACCAACAGCAAGCTCAGCACCCAGATCCATGAGGTAATGCCCTGTTGCTGGGGCCAATGCTATAGCTCAAGGGCCAGGCCCATGCTGGGGCACAGGGTCCTCAGATGCATTTGGGGAACTGGACTGACCCATGCCTTGGGACAGTGAGAGCCTCTCTTGAAGCTACAGTGAAGGAACCAGGCCCAATCCGGTTCCTCATCACATTCCGGCCTCAGACTCACCCCCCACCCCCGCTTTCTCTTGTTTTTCTTCTTTCTGCAGCTGGAGGATAACTGGGAACAAGAAAAGAAAATCCGGGCAGAGGTGGAAAAGGCTCGTCGCAAAGCTGAGAGTGACCTGAAGATGACCATTGACAATCTCAATGAGATGGAACGATCCAAACTAGACCTCGAGGAGGTGGTGAAAAAGTATGCCCATGCAGGTGTCCATTCTGCCCATGACAACGTTAGCGGTATCTAGCACTTCCTGGGTGGCGCCAGGTGCTGGGCACTGTGCTGGGGGCTTCACATGCATTAATGCACGTCCCCAGCACCTGCTGTGTGGGGGCAGCGTGCCCAGCACAGAGGATACAGGGAGACGGCGAGGAGGTGCTGCTCGTGCACAGGGAGCTCCCAGCCTCACACAGGGCCTGTTGGGCGCTGGAAAGGAGACAAGTATTAAGCAAGGCATCCGCCCCAAAAGGCAAGGAGTCTTTGTAGAAACCCATAAGCTGAGCTTTCAAAGATCACAAGGAGTTGAGGGGGTATTTTCACAGTATCGCTCTGGAAATAACATGGGAGACAGGTGGAGTGGAGAAACACTGGAAGCAGGAAAGCAATGGGAAGGCTACTGCAACAGCCCGGATGTAAACCTGGACTAAGTAAGAGGCTGAGGGATGGAGATGAGGAGTCAGACAAGGAAAGCTCTCAGGGAGTGGAATTTGGACAATGCATCTGTGAGGTGCATTTTGCTAAGGCAGTTTCAAAGCACCACGGACTGCTAGGAGGGTGTGCAGCTGGCTCTGCATCTCGGCACATTTCCTCTGTGGCATGCCAGGAGGTGCGCGTGACCTTGACCATCCTGCTCATCCACTTGGTCTCTGGCACCTTAGTTCTCACACATGGCTCCTTGGCACATGGAACCCACGTGTCAGAAGGAGACACCCTTTGGTGGAAAGTTTTTAGAAGAAAATTTTCCCTAAAAAGGCAAAGCATCCAAGTGATTCTGGAGCCCCTAGAATGTAAACTGCGCCAGAGCAGTGATTTCTGTCTGGTTTGTTCACTGATGTGTCCCCAGAACCCCAAACAACGTCTGGCACGTAGTAGATCTACTCAACAAACTTGTACCAAATTAAGATGTGCATGAGTGAATGAATAAGCGGATGGAAAGCATGTGCAGCAGATTCTGGGGTTCTGCAGGGTGAGACCTTCTGGGCAGCCACCCCAGAAAGCCAGATGCTGGGGGATGAGTGGGTTTCAGGAGGTTCAAGGCCTCCTCCAGCAGCCCAGGTTCTGTTCCCTTGCCAGCTGGCTGATCTCCCCTCAGAGCTTTTCCCTCAGGAGATCAAACCTTCTCTTGCAGGAGGGATATGGAAATCAATTCTGTCAACTCTAAATATGAGGATGAGCAGTCTCTGAATTCCACACTCCAGCGGAAACTAAAGGAACACCAGGTGTGTCCAGGACCGAGAGGACAGAGCTCCCCTTTTGAAATGCACTTCCAGGCACCTTTGCTCCCATCAGGTGCTTGGCTACCTGGGTTTCCTGAGGAGCAAGACTGCCCCAGAGTCCTTGAGACTGATCCATGTTCACCTCACACAGGCTTAGAGTCAAAGCCCCTACAATGATTACAAGGCCCTCCACAATCTGCCCCTATTCCCTCCCTGCCCTTGTCACCCAGCCTTCCCCCACCACTCCCCAGCCTCCCTCCTGCCTCAGGGCTATTGCACACACTCTCTGTGCCCAGTTTCCTTCTGCTGTTGACGGTGTCCATCATATGCTCAGCAACTTGCCATCATTTCCATATTAAAAGGCCAAATGTTTAAGTTTGTAACTTCACCCAGAAGAGATAACCTCCCTTTGCTTGTTTGTCTGCTAGGCCCGAATTGAGGAGCTGGAGGAAGAACTGGAAGCTGAGCGGGCAATGAGAGCCAAGGTAAATGAAATACTTCTGCACTTTTTGAGTCTAAAGACCCAGCACCAGTCACAATCCAACTGTAAGCAGACAGACACTCCACTCAGGAAAGCAAGAGGACAGGTTTCCAATTGAACAGGCCTCGCTGATTTCTCGAGCTGTGCACAAGGCCCAGTGCTACATGTGCAATATTAATTATGATGTAAGATGCTAAGATACTATTTCTGATGTGAGTCCAAGGAGAAGAGGCTAGTTCTGCCTGGGGCAGGTAGAGGAGGCAACATTAGCCTGGGGACTCGGAGACTGAATTCAACAGACTGACGCCAGGAAGAATTTCTAGGCAAAGAGAAGAAATAGCACCTCTCTGCACAGTGACAAAGATGTGAAGAGAAAAGAAAAGAATGGAAGGAGGCTTTAGGGTGGGGATCCTGCAGAGGATGAGGCCAGAAAGCTGGTGGGAGATGAAATCCTCACACACCTAAACTCCAGATTCAGCCCAACCAGGCCGGGGGTAGGAAGGGCAGGTAAACCTACCCAGTGCAGAAGGACACAGGCATCCTTCACTGAGTGTGCGGGGTGGCAGGCAGTGGGCAGAACTCCCCAAGTGCAGGCCCCTAGCTTCACAGACACCATGTGGTCACTGCAGTCTTTACCAGAGAAGGGGGGGCTCCTGCACGGCTCCCGTCATGCTCATTGATCTTCCCCAGGTGGAGAAACAACGCAGTGACCTGTCCCGGGACCTCGAAGACCTCAGTGACAGGCTGGAAGAGGCTGGGGGAGCCACGTCTGCTCAGGTACCATCCTCAGGGGACCCAAGAACCCCAATTCCTGCCTGCCTGCAGGGAGAAAAAAAAATTACTGGATGATGAGCAGTGGGGAAAAGACCAGTTAGTTCTTGCTGAATTTCTGGGGCTGACATGAGGAGAAAACAATAATAAAGAAGAGGCAAGTGAAAAGCTGGTATGGTCTTCTTAGCTCAGTGGTGTTGATAGAAGCAGCACCAGACTGAAGGCAGAGGGCAGGCGTTGTATGATTCGTGTTTATAGAAAATGTGAGCTGCAGTAAGACCAGCAGATCAAGAGAAGACTGCCACTAAAGAGAGTCTGTGACAGTTCCCAAGAAGAGGGGCATGCCATGCAGGGCTACACGGGGAGGCACCAAGGTCAGGAGGAGGCCAGGGCAGGGGGAAATTGTAGGCAAGAGCCTTTACTGTGGTTTCTGAGGAAGGAACAAGGGAGGCAGAGTAAGCAGGCTTAGGATGGGCTAGTTTGGATAATTTCAGCAGGCTCTAGGGCACAGGGGCTGTCCCTAGTTGTCTGGTACCTGGCCATGGGGGTACTGAGGGCAGGTTAGAGTGGCTGAGAGTGTGAGAACCCCACAGAGGAGGGGTTGGAGGTGTGGGCTCTAGATTGGTTGCTTTGCATTGGAAATCCAGTTGTTTGCTATCTCTAGTAGGAGTTAGCTAACCCTGGGAGGGGCCATCCTTCCAGGGTCAGCAAAGCCCCAGATGTTAAAGCATCAGAATACAGAAAATAAAGACATGGTTAATACATGGGGTGACCCCACACTCCCAGGGCTGGAGTCCAAGCTGAGCCTCTGGTGTGGAATTCAACTTCCTTCAATTCAAATAAAGGCATCGTGGAGACTGGCAGGAGACACTTGAAACTCTTTCTAATTCCGTGTAGTCAGGTTTCTTATAAATGTGGACCCTGGGTCAGAGCTGACAGCAGGAATGTGGATGGTGTCCCTTAGCACTGGAAGGCTCCCTGGACTCCACATCCCACCCCCCCACCATTCTGGCCACAGTCTGCTCGCTGTGGAGGGGCCTACTGAGCTGGTGTCCAGCTGCGGTCAAGGTCCCGGGAGAGCAGGCATTAAGAAGGGACGATGTCTAGCAATGCAGGGAAAGTTAAGGAAACAACAGGATTCAGGGCACCAGGGGGATGGGAGGAAGCGGGATCATGGGGCTGTGTGACATGGGGAGCCACGGAGCAGGGGCTGCCTGGTGGGCTCCTTCTGGAGGCTCAGGGGGAGTGTGTCCCAGGGCTCTCTCCTGGCTGCTGGTAGGTTGCTGGCAAACTTTGGTGTTCCTTGCTTATAGCTGCATCCCTCCAATCCCTGCCTCCGTGGTCACATGGCCTTCTTCTTGTGTGTCTCCCTGGATCCAAACATCTCTCCTCTTAGAAGGACAACCAGCCATTGGGTTAGGGCCCTCCCTAATCCAGTTATGGCATTTTAACTTGTTTATATCTGCAAAGACCCTGTATCCAAATAAGGTCACATTCGCAGGTATGGGGGTTAAGAATTGAGCATATCTTTTTAGGAGGCACAATTCAAGGCACAACGCTATCTAAATGAATCTGGTGGGCAACCCTCCTAGAGGCTCAGGACGGATATTTCCATCAAGACATCCCATCAGTGGGGTGCAGAAATAGCAGGGGACTGCTGAGCAGGTGGGCAGTGTCAGATCTCAGGAGGCCAGTGCCATTCAGTTCCGCTAAGCAACGCTTCTCCTCTCTCCCAGATTGAGCAGAACCGCAAGCGGGAGGCAGAGCTGCTAAAGCTAAGGAGGGAGCTGGAGGAGGCGGCCCTGCAGAGCGAGGCAGCGGCCTCCACACTGCGCAAGAAGCACACGGACTCCATGGCTGAGCTGACCGAGCACGTGGAGAACCTGCAGAGGGTCAAGTCCAAGCTGGAGAAGGACAAGCAGGTCATGAAGGCTGAGATCGACGACCTCAATGCCAGCATGGAGACTGTGCAGAAGTCTAAGGTGAGGGAAGACCCCTGCAGAGCCACAGGGAGGTGCCCCAGCGTCCGGCCGCTTCGCAAATATTTCCTGAGCCCCCCGGCAAGCCTGAGGCATGTTCTGGATGTTGTGAAGGGAACTGAGATGAGCCCATCCCAGATCCCAAGCTCATAACCTAACTGTGCCTCAGTTTCCTCATCTGTAAAATGGAGACATTAATAATCCCTACTCCATAGCACTGTTGTGAGGGCTATAACCATCCCTGGCATATAAGAAAAGCTCGATAAATGGGAGCTATTAAGATGACCATTACATTAGGAGAACTACATCCTCAAGGAGCTGGGAGACTAGTTGGATAAATGCATATATCACCACAATGAAAAAGGGATAAATGGCCATAGGGAAAATCAAGTAAGCCATTCAACATGCGTTTACCAAGCATCTGCCATGTGAAGAACCTTCTTGTGACATGAGAGAAAGGGGGGCCCCAAAGGTGAGCAGGGAGGATGCTTTGGAGTCCCTGTCACAGCCAACTACTATTTCACACTTTAGACACTCACGAGGCATCTTCACAGCCCCTAGTTTATCTGCAGAACCCTGCACTAAGGCTAGTATTTTTTCTTAAATGGACCTGTTGCATTTTCTTATTGGGTGAGGTCTGCAGGGGTCCGGAGTGGCCATAAAAGGGAGATGAGCCAGACAGTGAGGGTCTGTGTGCCAACCCAAAGGCTCCAGGTTTATGTTGGTAGAAATGGTGAGCTGGGGTGGGGCGAAGATGGTTCTGAGACAGGGACGTTCTAGAAGGACTAGGCAGGCAGTCTGGGAGGCTGCACTAGGGGAACCCAGGTGGGAAGCAGAGAGGGCCTGTTCTCCATTTCCCCATGGGGTTCATTCTTCCTGAGCAGATGAATGCTGAGGCCCACATCCGAAAGCTGGAAGACAGCTTAGCAGAAGCCAACGCCAAGGTGGCTGAGCTGGAGCGAAACCAGGCAGAAATCAATGCCATCAGGACCCGCCTGCAAGGTGAGCTGGCCCCTCCCTGCAGCTTCCTGAGGAACCGTGCATGGAACACAACCGAGATCCTCAAGGAAACTGAAGGAGTAGCTGGGTCCTCTTCCCAGAGCTTTCTTGGCCTTGGAAAATTCACATCCCCTGTGATGAGACAGGAGATTTGATTCCACCCACTGAGCGTTCCAAGTATCATCTTTACAGTGTCTAACAGGGAACACTATTCAAAGCATTTCCCTCCCAGTTCTGTCAACCACCCTGTGAGATCAGCAGGAGGGGCAGCAGACAAAACACAATTTTTAAACATTTTAAAACATGACCTGCATACTAACAGACAGTGAACATGTGTCACTAATGAAGGAGCCAGAAAATGGCAAACCTGCCTTCAAAGTGCATTTGAGGGGCAGAGATTTACACAGTCGGTTGGGGAAGGGATGCCTATATATAACTTTGCTAAGTTAGATGCAAAGCCAGTTAATGTCTTACAACATAATAATACTGAACCTCTGGGTTTGGTTTTGTTGTTGTTGTTGTTGTTGTTGTTTTACCAGAAGAGATCCTTTGCATCTCTAGGGCAAAAATAATTTGCAACTTATCACTATTCACTTAACACCTAACTTTGCAGAGGCTGGGCTCTTACCTGCGGTAAACAGCAAGCAACCACGCTATTTTCTGAGAGAAGTAAATACTCCCTAGACAGGCCAGTTAGATAACATTCCACTGTGACACCAGAGAACCTGCTGGCATCCTTTGGCCTTATTTCCCACACCCTGAATACTTTCGAAAATCAACATCCCCATTTGATAAATAAGAAAAGGGAAGCTCAGTGAGACGAGGTAACTTGCCACAAAACAAATGACTTCCAGAGCAGAACCAGAAACCCTCACTCATCCTCTCTGGCTCATGCATGTCTTCCTGGCCTCTGGCCCTGAGAATCAGTTCACAGACGACTAGGGTGTAGGTTCGGGGACCGTAACAGTTAATTTTTCAAAGTAAACACTCTCTGCCTCACTATTTCCTTCAAACTTCTTTACTGTATCTCATGCCAGGGGCTGGGACTTCAAGATCGGAAGCCCTGTACCCCATGCAAGACACCTGGATGTTGGCAATGCTTGGACAATTGCTCCTCTCCTGGGCTTACTTAAATTTGGGTGGCTTGTAATGGTTCACCATGCTCCCCTTCCCAGCTCAGTTGGCCAAGTCACCATATTTATTGGGTACTTTGGGAATGCTGCACTGGGAGAGTTTAGGATCTGGCTGGGGAGCCAGTTTTCCATCCAGTATTTCTCCCATTCCCTTCTCACTCAGCTGAGAATGGGGAGCTGAGCCGGGAATACGAAGAATCCCAGAGCCGGCTCAACCAAATCCTGCGAATAAAGACATCACTGACGTCGCAGGTGGACGATTACAAGAGGCAGCTGGATGAGGAATCCAAGGTTTGTTTGGGGATGGGGTGGGGGTGAGGGAGCTGTCTTTCTGAAGAAAGTTATAGCTTATAAAGATGTAGAAGGAACATGAAAAATATGATTCAATAAAAAGTTAAAAAGTTAACAAGACTGGTATTATGCCATGTGTACGAAGAAATGAAAACACAAAATTCCATATCCTTGTGGCCAGTAACTGGAACAAAACAAGGAAAATAAACCCTAATGGTTTGGGTTGTAGAGTCAGGTGTCCTTTTCCCCCTTTACTTGCTGCAATGTTGATCCAACATTGTGTGTATCTAAGTCCCCGGGCCATAGGGACCAGTAGGGCCTCTGACAGGCTCGGCTGGTCCCCACAGTCTCGCAGCACGGCCATGGTGAGTCTCGCCAACACCAAGCATGACCTAGACCTGGTGAAGGAGCAGCTGGAGGAGGAGCAGGGAGGAAAGTCAGAGCTGCAGCGCCTCGTGTCCAAGCTCAACACTGAGGTGACCACCTGGAGGACCAAGTATGAGACCGATGCCATCCAGAGGACCGAGGAGCTGGAGGAGACCAAGTGAGTGTCACCCTGCACTGGAGAGCAGGAAGGCTGGGGTGGGGGTGGCGCTGGGGGGGGCTGGGCAGGGGTCTGACCATGTCAGCCACTGTGGAGGCCAGGACCACAGCCAGGAGAAGGCAGTTCACCAGCTCTTCTTGAAGGGGGGGAATGTGTCTGGACAGCGAAGCCCACTTTGTGCCCTTGGCAGAATACCCAGCCTTCGGGTTCCCTCTTCAAGGCTCTCTGTGTCCTCTGCCCTAAAGTGCTCAGGCTCCCAGCAGGGAGGTCAGGAGCAGGGTCTCCACCTCCAGGCAGGGTGTCTCTGCCCTAAAGTGCTTGGGAAGTGTCCACAGGTCTGGTGGGTCTGGAGCAAGGCCTCTGGGTGATGCTGAGTGTATGTGGACCACACTCAGCAGCAAGGGCCCTCACACTGGCAGTTCTCCTGCTCTGTGCTAAACGCCCTCAAATCTTGTGAGCTTTCTTCTTCATTTGCAAACTAGGAAAGTGGATACTCTGCTTGACAGGCCTGAGGAAATAAGAGTGAACACGTGAATGTGGCGCTGAGCCGCCTTCCAGGTATAGGAACAGGCTGGCTCTGTTGCCCACGGGAAGCCCTGTGTGTGAGCCATCCTGAGGCGGGCAGGGAGGGGACCCCAGCCTGCTTGCTGGTGCCTCCTGCCCACTGGCATTTGTGGCGACAAGACAGCAATACGCACAGTGGCCTCCAGCTGACATAAATCTCTTATCAAAAGCTCTTTATACATTGAGCCTAAATCTACATCCTGCCACTCCCCACCTCCTGCCCTCCAGCCCTTTTCTATTTTCTGTTGAGAATGTCCAGGAGATGCCTACCTAATCCCACTCCAAAGCTCAGGCTGAATCTCAACCCCTCACCTCTCTCTGCCCGGACCTTCTTCCCCAGACACCCGCAGGATCCTCGCCCTCCTCTTCCTCTTCCTCTGCTCATGTGTCCCCTTCCTTGCCTTATTTTCTCCATGGTGCTTATGTCTCTGTGTCTATCCCCCGACTAGAGCAGAAGTTTCATGAGGGCAGGGGTCTTGGTCTGTTTCTCTAATACCTAGAATGATACCTGACCCAGAGTAGAAACAATAAATAGTTGTTGGATGGATGGATGGATGGATGAACAGACAGACGGACAGTGACTGCTTTCCTCTAAACACTCTCTATTTTGTCTGCATCTTCTCCACTGTGGCACCACAAACCCAGCCCCCAGCCCACGGGCTCCTGTGTTTCCCTGATGGCCTCTCTTGCCCTCGCCCACAGGAGGAAATTGGCCGCCAGGCTCCAGGAAGCAGAAGAGACAGCTGAAGCCGCCCAAGCCCGGGCTGCCTCCCTCGAGAAAAATAAACAGCGACTCCAGGCAGAAGTCGAGGACCTCACCATCGATTTGGAGAAGGTCAGGGGGTTAAATGCTTGCTGGGTCCAAGGGACCCCAGGGAGTTGGTTGAAACTATCACATGTCTGGGCTTAGCAAGAAGAAAGAGTTGGCCCGACAAGATGGAGCACAGGGTCTGTATTCAAGCTTCCTGGACACAGGCTCCTGCCTGATCTTAATACTCAACAAGCCACTATTCAAATAGGTCTGTGATGAGGACAAAACTTAGTCCCAGGAAGTCATGCAACTACTGTCTCTCTTCTCCTTTTCCTCATGCAAACCACATCCCACACACTTTGTGTGGCTAAATATTCTTGTTTGCATCCCTGGTGCAGATTGATCTGTAAGTCTCTAGGCCGAATTAAATAAGCTTTCCCCTGGCACACAGCAACCTGATCTTGGTCTAGAGAGGGCAACCACTTCATGCCAGTGGTGACGGGCATGTAGGCAGAGGGTCACAGCCACGTGAGAGGCTTCAGGAAAATAGTCCCAAAACCTGAAAACCCTTTGCTCCCCCGGCCCAAGTAAGAAATTAAGCAGAAATTTACAAAACCCAACATTGCACCACAGCAAATACATAATTGCCAGTTATGAAAAAAGTGAATGGTCTATGAAAAATAAGGTCTGAGAAAAGTCAGCTTTGATTCACAAGAAAAATAACACCAAACCCATCTCTGAGTTGGACAACGACGTATAACACATATTAGTAAATTACAGAGAAATAGGCTATGGAGAGTTGGGTGAATGTTTAAATCCGGGAAGGCTGCCGTGGCCCAGAGCCCTCATTCTACACCTAAGAAAGTCTGAGCCTGGGACGATAAGACGGACTGCCCAAGATCGCACATCTAGTAGTAGAAGCTTAAGGAGTGGGACGAGGCTCTTCCCAGACTCCCTGCCCCGTGCTTGTGCCATACCTGTGGAATTATTTCTCAGTCCCCAGAGTTACTGGGGAGGGGTGGGGAAGGCAGGGAGGAGAGCAGAGGAGGGGAAGGGGCTGGAGAGTCAGACCCGCGGAGACCAGCCCCATCTCTCCCTAGGCGAACGCTGCAGCCGCCGCCTTGGACAAGAAGCAGCGGGTCTTTGACAAGATGCTGGCCGAGTGGCAGCAGAAGTGCGAAGAGCTGCAGGTGGAGGTAGACAGTTCGCAGAAGGAGTGCCGCATGTACATGACAGAGAGCTTCAAGATCAAGACTGCCTATGAGGAGTCCCTGGAGCACCTGGAGTCGGTGAAGAAGGAGAACAAGACTCTGCAGGGTGAGTCGGAGGGCAGGGACAAAGACACAGGGCCTCCTTCCTCCTGAGTGCGTCATGGGTTTGAGCACCTGGCACATCGTAAGCAACCAATAAATACATACTACCAACACTGTGCAGAAGCACTCGGGCATTCAGCAGCAGGACTTCAAGCAGGTGAGTCACTTAACCTTTCCGTGCCTCAGTTTCCTCACCTGTAAGTCAGGGAGATCCTGCCTTCCTTGTAAGGTTGGTGTGACAATGAAACAAGATGTGTGAAATCTTCACTCAGTAGAGTGGCTGAAACAAATACGGGCTCGGTCGATTTTGTGTATTTGAGCCCTTAGATCTATCATATGTACATAATATACATACACGTGTAAGATTTCCTAGTATGGGCTGGAATTTCATTCTGTTGGATACTATTTGAAGAATGCTGCCTATCTGTTGAAGATCATCGTGCCATTCAGAGATCTGACTGCATTGTTTGCTGGCAGGTGCACATTTCTAATCACAAAATCAGTTGTGTAAGAAATGTCAGTATTTTTATTTTCAAGAACTGTTTTGGGATCCCTGTTGTGCTGAGCAGCAAACGAAATCTCAGTCAATACAGGGTTTCCTCAGTTCAGGTTAGATGCCTGATGTAGGGTCACTGCAATGGAGGGTAGAAGCAGATGGTCCCTGATTGTCCCCAAATCTGCCCAAGGTCCTAGCAGTCACTCCCTGGGGAGCTGTCAGCTTACAGGGGAGAATTGTGAGAGCCCAGCATTTGAGGTATGAAGGCCCTGCTTTTATAACCCCAAAAGTCTAAGTACTAGGGCGCCTGGGTGGCTCAGTTGGTTGAGCG